ATGTCCAAACTTGGACGAATCTTTCCCCGGCAAACACCGCGCTTCTCGCGCGCTCGATGCAGCCTCACGGTGAGTGCCCTACGAAGCCTCGTGCGAGAATGCCATGCCAACCTCGATCACTGGATGTGCCTTCTTTCGGTCAAAGAGGGCCACATTAAGCCCCTACAAGTGTAGTAGTCTGGGATGTAAACCAAACTTGTCCGATCTCAAAAGGAACATCCTGGATAAGCCTGCGTTCAGCTGGCACACATCGCACTGAAAGGGAGCAATACCAATCCCTCGCTCCTTCCAACTTTTAGCGCAAGCTGGCACGCACCCCTTTTCCAATTGACTGCTCAGACAAAGTCCTTAGAAGTGGTATAACCTCCATACTCCATTCCCCAAGCTTCTCTTGAGACAAAGCTGCGAAACAACGGCAATTGTTTATCGTGTAAGGCGAAGGAATCCTGGTTGCTAGTTACTGCAAGGCAAGCGCTGGGATGTTTGAGGCTATCTTATGCTGTGGACCTTCGGCATTTGCTTTTGAATTTCACCAGCTCATGATTTTTACATTTGAGGGGTGTCCAATCTGATTTTGCTTCGGTCAGCAGAGCCAGCGCAGCTGGTGGGAAGACGTTGCAAAAGAATCTATATCGTTATGTTTCTATGTCTATTTCTCTTTGTGTTCTCTTGATATCTCTCTCTGTCTCTCTCTCTCTCTCTCTCGCTCTCTCTCTTCTTTATATTTGTCTTATTTGTCTTGATCTGATTGATATTCATATTTATCTTTGTCTTTCCCAATCTCGGTCTCATCACGAAAGCTAGCTTTAGCTGGCTGAAGTTTCCCCTTGCGTAAGCAAGGTAAGGGGCTGGAATGCCGAAGATTGATTTTATCAAAAAGATTGCAAGAATCAATTATTTAGACCCCTCCCCCCTCTCCCCCCTCCCGAATCCCCCCTGGTCCACCCCCCCCCCCTCAAGCGTTGACTTGGACCCAGAAACACATTTCCAGAGCATCCGGCCCTGCATATCCGAATCCACTTTCGTGGTCTTCCTCAGTCTTCTCAGGAAAGCACCTTGCAGGAAGCCGTGCGCAAGCCACATGCAGACCCAGGGGGTGCTGTAAGACGGCTTGAGACATCTCTTGTCATTTTCATTTTTAACGGTTTGCCGGGCCACCATGTCAGTTTGCGAGTAGCCTCCTGAGGATCTTCAGGGCGCCTCCCATGGTGCGCAAGCTACCTATGTAATCGAGTCTTTTACCGACCCGTCTCATACCTTAGTTGCTAGCTTTCGTTCACCCCCTCCTCAAGTGACATTTATCTTTGTCTACGTATCTCCTCTGTCTATCTATCTATCTGTCTGTCTGTCTGTCTGTCTGTCTATCTGTCCCGTCTATCTATCTATTTGTCTATCTATTTATCTATGTTTCTCTTTATACATTTGTCTATTTATCTATTTATATATTTAGTTATCTAGCTATCTATTTAGTTTTCCATCGCTCTATCTATCTATCTGTCTATCTATCCATCTATTCATCTATCTATCGATTTATCTATCTTTGCATCTTTCTATCTTTCTATATTTCTTTTAATCTATCCAGTCTATCCAACCTACTTAATCAATCCATCCTAGCTAATCTATTTGGTAATCTAATCTATATCTGTCGAATCTATCTATCTATGAACCTATCTGTCTGTTAATGTATCTATCTATCTATCTGTCCATTTATCCTTCTATCTATCTTTTTATTTATCTACTCTATCTATCTACCGAATCTATCTATCTTTCATTTAGTCTATCTGATCTATCCAATCCCTTTCATCTATCCTACCCATCTAACCTGTTTAATCCGTCTAATCTATTAAACCTACCTACTCTATCTAGTCTAGCTAGTCTTTCTAATCTGTCTACTCTATCTAGTCTTTCGCATCTTTCTAGTCTATCTAATCTATCGACCAATTGAATCTAAATAAACCTACTCTGATCTAACCTAACCCCTTTATCCATCTATCTATCTACTTATTTGTCCATCTATCTATCTATCTGTGTATTAATCTACCCAATCTGCAATATCTAGTGAAACCCAACCCAATCTGTCTATCTATGTCACATATTGTACTTTAGTCTAGTCGGCCTTACCTGTCTCATCTACAGCAACCTATCTATGTATCTATCTGTCTATCTGTATGTATAACCTTTTTGTTTAACCTACCTTGCCCGATCTGCCTAATCTTGTCCATAACTACTATCTAACGTGTTTAATTTGTCTTACCTAACGTATCTGAACTAATCTATCCTATCGAATTTAATTAATCTAACCAAATCTAGCCCAATCTAATCTAACCTAATCTAATCCATCTGCCTATGTGTCTATCTATCTTTTTATCTACCGATGTTGTATTTTTATGTTTATCTATATAGCGGTTTTTCTCTATCTATTTATCGATCTATCTTTCCAAGCTAACCTAAGACAATCTAATCTAATCCATTCTAATCTTTCTAATCTGTTTAGTTTATATATCTATGTATCTGTCTATGTAGATGCGTCTATGTATCTATCCGTTTATCAATCTATCCATCTACCTAGCGATCCATCCATCTTGCTACCTATCTGTCTCATCTAACCTAACCTAATCTATTCTAAGTCGAATCCAATTTAACGCATTCCACTGAAACCTATCTATGTACCTATCTATCCAGTTATTTGTCGTTATATACTGACCTATGGATCTATCCATCTATTTGTCTCTTGTATCCATCTATCTATCCATCTATCCATCTATCCATCTATGCATCTATGCATCTATCTCTCCATCTAATGTACCCATCCATCCATCTATCATCTTCTCACCTAGTCAGACCTAGCTGTCTAGCAATCAACATACTTGTCTATGAAGTTATTGGTCTATCTATCCAGCAGCTTTCTTTGCGTTGATTTGTCTGCAGTGCTCTGAGAGCGTTTTGCCTTGCAAGGATTCGGTACCCGACCTTGCGAGATTTCCTCACGCATTTGTTGTCATGCTTGCTTGTTCTTGTCTTGTCTTCTGTCAGCAGAGAGCGAAAGTTCCGCTAAACTTCCTTTGACTAGACATTGGCGCGAGGTTCGCGCAGCCATGACGCCAGGATTTCAGAGTAACCTTGCTGCAGCTATGGTTCCCAATGTGCTGAGTTCTGGGTGTGTTTTCCGGATGCAATGACAGCCAGCGTAGTTTGCGCTTGGGAGGTGCTGCTTGCCAGGTTTTGTTGACGTACGTCAAGAGCTGGTCAATTGGGTGGTAGGTGGCTCACCTACGGTTATTTTCTCATGACTCTGAGTGACAGCGCTGCTCACATTTTAATCGACCGGCATAGCCAGAAACGCGTGGATGTGCCATGTCGACATAACGAGCCTCTTTGGCTTCATGTGGCCTTCCGCCTAGCCGCGCCAATGCCAAATCTCAGACGCAGGCGAGGCCGCATGACTAGCCAATCGTTCTTCCATGACTCACAGAGGCAGGGCTGCACAGAAAGAGGTGACTCTTCGAAAGATGTCTCATGTTGAGGGATTGCAAACTTGTTTTAGCAGTCTGTGTTTGTTCCCTTCAGCTGTGGGAAGTACATAGTTTCACATTTGGCTGCACGTGTGGTCCGAAGATGGCTTTCTGGGCCCTCCCGCCAAAGTGGGTTGAAAGTAAGCTGGCCATGTGTGGAAGTTTGAGCGTTGATTGGGCTTATGACGGGTGATTTGTTTTGTCATGTACTGCGGTGCTATGTGGTGGTCAATTCGCATCAACTAGTTGGTTTGTTTGGCTGGAGCCTTGCGAGACAGCCAAGATGTCCATGTATGATGGACTTGCTTGAACCAGCGAGCCAGCCTCGTAGGCACCAACAAGCAGAAACATGTGTCGTGCACTTCTTTCTGCCAAGAACGTGCTTGCGTTCCCGGCCGTGTAGGTGTCACATCCTTGTTCCATTCGTTTCATGCGAACGTGGACATGCCCATGAGATGTTCAAAACAGTCCGCAGATTGATCGCAGTCGAGGATTACAAGCTTGAAAGAGGCAGATCGGCAGTGGAATGATGACATCCGCGGCTGTAGTCTCAACATGGCGTTTGCGATGTGTCGGCCGTCACAAAGAACCTTTGGGGTAGTGTGCAAGCAACCAGGCGGTGTGTACTTGTCATTCTCAGCAGGTAGACCATATGTTTGGAGCTACAAGCGCTTGCTTGAAGTTGGATTCCCTCACAAGACACCTCACACGAGGTGGAATCCATTTTCTGTGCCGATGAGCTTCAGGTGAATACGCTGCACTGCATGAACCATCCATCACAATCACGAGTGTTAGTGGTTTATTTTGTGTGCATGGGTTTTGCCTGTCAAATCCAAGAAGGATCGCTGATGGCAGTGGGCTGACCTTGTGTGAAGGGGGGTTGCAATGAGTGTTTACTCACTGCGAGGGGCCTTGCAACTAAACTGAAGGTCGTTTGGTGAGACCTCAACGGAGGGATCGCGAGATTGATTGAAGCAATCCGGATGGCGATTGCTCAACAAAAAGCCATAGACATCTAATCCCTTGGGTACAGGGGAAATGTATAGTGCCCGTTGTCAACGCAGCCTCCTAAACTCCCTTGCAAAGGTGCCGGGGTTGGTTCTTTGAAGCTGTTTTTTCTCCGTTCCTCTGTTGTTTCCTTCCAACCACATCCGAAGGACGAGAGGGCATGTGTCAAAGTGGAGCCTCCTCTACGGGGAACCAAACAATTTGACCGGGAGTGAAATCAACTGGAGCTCCCAAGCTCAAGAGACGTCCAAGAGTCCTCGCTTATGGCTCACGAAAGGAACACAGATTCAGCCCCCAGCTGGGGGCTACTGGTAATGCTGGAAGTGAATCAGTTATTGATAGTGAATAATGCTGGTTCGGAGCATCACAATTGTATTGAATCAGATTACTGGAAAAATAGTTTGCAAAAATTGATGCTCCGAACCGCAAAACAACGATCAACCCACAAGCGCAGACACCGGGAAGCGTCGAAGCGTTCAGGATGCGGAGGACTTCGACGCAGACCGCCTGGGCGTCTTTGAGACTTGGCGTGCGGCAAATTTGGATCCTGCCCAGTAACGGCCCAGCTGATTGAAAAGATCAACTTAGGGGTGGTCGATCAAGAATTCCATCACCTATGTTCGGTTTTCTGTCATGAAATGGATCTACAAGTTTTGTGGCTTCAGCGTCTTTCCTTACTACTGTGACGGTGTTTTGTCTGAACTGTAGCAATGCGCTGCTAACCAAGCATGCGCAGAGTCGCGGGCATAAGTTAGGATTCTGCCTTTGCTGAGGTACAGACGTTTGTGCCACCATCACGTTTCGGCCGGGTGTTGAGCACCGCCAGTCATCGGCACTAAGCGCGAAAGTGCGATAATCTATTGTTGGTGGGTGGGGGGACCGTACAAGAATCCAAAAGGCGGGGTGAGCCCTTTGCTTCTCAGCAACCGCCACAAAACATGGACAACTCATTCAGTCCAAGCTGTAGTTGTGAGCTGCAATGCAGTGAGGCAAAAGGGCCGGACAGGTTTCGAAGCAGCACCCGCTCAATCCTCCAGGCTTTGTGGCGCCTGCGCCTGTCAAGGTGAGACAAGACCAAGCACAGTTCCAGCATAGGGGCCCTTGTAGGATTCGGATGCATGCAGCTTTCCGTTTTGACAAATTTATGAGGCAAGACAGGGCTTCAGCCAATGCACAACAAAAGACATGCACACGTACACAAAAAAAAACAGACACCGACACACAGGAACAGGCAGACACACAGACACAGAGACGCACGCACACACACACACACCACACTCAAGTCACACGGACACAGACAAGAGACCAACACTCGCACACAGACATGGAATCATTGACAAAGACAGACAAACACTCGCAGACACAGAAAGACGCAAAGACACAGAGAGAGAAAGAGAGAGAGAGAGAGCGAGAGAGAAAGACTCGCAGAGACACACACACACAGAGTCACACATACACAGAGAGACACATGCGGACACACGCACGCGTTCAAGTTTACTTACACTTGTGCGAATGCAAGAGCGCATACAAACACGCGCGCAACCGCATCGAACAACAGAACATCGATAACGCAGTCACTGGCACTTGCCCTTGGTACGCGCACGCTGGCCATCTACGTCACAAATGCTGCGAGTTGTTGGTGTTGGGTTTCTGCTGCAATCGCGGTGTGTGCCAGGAAACGATGTATGACGACAGCCCCAACTTTCAGATCCAGATCAAAGAGCTGGGCAGCCGTGAAAAGTGGAGTGAGCTCCAGGCAGGGTTGCACATGGAGGTCTTAGAGTCCGTCGCTGTCCATTAAAGACTACGTTGGGACGCACTCAGAAGTGTCCAAACGCTTCGAAATGCATTGTCAGAAAATAGCTGGGACCATGTCAACCAAGGGGGTAATACATCCCAGGGTTCAACAGTGTTCTTGACTTGCAGAAGGTTGGACGTGCCAGTTCAAATGTACCCTGTGATCATAGGTGTCCTTTTTAGTTGATTTGGTGGAAAAATAGAGGGCCCTGGTTTACCTGGTGGTTCAACCAACCACCAGGGCCATCGATTTTCCAAAAAAGGACGCCAACGCTTCTGATGGCCAGGAACGGCGCCGGGCAGAGGAGCAGCGCGCGGAGGCGCAGCGTCTGCAGCGCCTCAGCAACGCGCAGGCGGCCGAGGCGCGAGCGCAGAAAAAGGTCTCATCTCGTGGATCCGTTCGAGGCGGAGGAGGTGCAAACTTTGTCATTTTGCCCATTTGAAACGTGGTTTTGTCCACCAAAATAAAGGGAAACCACCATTTACAAGGCAATGTTCAGGTGTATAATGTATGGATCCCAACACAAAAAGGAGTGACTTTAGGAGGATATACTCGCAGCCATTGAGTTTAGATGTGTCTTTGACTCGCAACGAACTGTCAGAGCCTAAAGAGTCAGAATGGGGTGGTGTGGTCCTGTATAAGCCATTTGTTCTCATTATCATAGAGGAAGAATGTGTGCATCACAAAGCAACGTGAGCAACTCATATTTGCAGATTTGGAACCTTAGTGACAGAGTCTCTACACCATACAGACACACACATAAACACATTTGGCATATTTGAAATTGGGTATGTGTCCAAGCAGGGACCTACAACCAAATGGTGGTTGTCCTTCTGACCTCACTTCCAACCACTAAACAAAGTGCTTTTCAAAAAAGGCCATGAGTGCCTAAAAACAAAAAACACACGCAAGACTACAGAAGAAAAAAAAAGACGCAATTGGCATTTTTGGTTCCCTTGAGTATTTGCGGCACTCCTGGATTCGCTGAGGGCGACACGGGCAGCGGCTGGAGCGCCGCGCCGGCCAGCGCGGTGCCTTGGGCTATGAGGAATAGCGGCTGATTTCGCGCAATGGGTATACAGGAAGTATGAAATGGACATATTTGGCATGGGTAATCACTAAGTTTTTTGTGATTTTTAATGGGGTTCACCGAAGTTCCGGACACATATCGTATTGACCAGGAACCAAGCAGCGCGGCTTTGAAGTGTTGGTGCGGAACCCAAGGATTTTTGGCTGGGTTTCAAGGGGAACCCAAAAATGTAGTGCACGTTCCTTTATATGGGGGATATGTATTTGGTATTGATTTCCCCTCAGACTATTTTGGAGGGTCCGAAATGCCGCCTTACAACTACGGGAACTGCTAGGTGATTTTTTCAACCAAAAGGACTGCAAGCTGCCCTTCACCTGCGGTTTGCCTGGAAAACCGGCTGAAGGGTGGTTGGCGGAAAGAACAGATTGTCTCTAAATGGAACCATCTCCACAATGGAGCAAAGAAAAGCCCGGTCCTTTGGAAGCCCAAGCAGGATCAAGAGAGAGACACAGCAAGGTCAGGAGTTTCTCTCAAATAGGTTCTTAGGGTTGGGCCCACCAAGCGGCCTCCAATGGGGCGAAGCCACCAAGAACAGCAGCGCTGGACTCGAATGGGTGTGTTTCTTTGAGTAGGGAACCCATGGAACCCTGTTCAGGGTGTTAGGGTTGATTTTAACACCCTCCAGGACTCCAAAATGTTGGTGTCAATGGGGTTCCTGAACATGCACCTTTTTCATCCAGGCTCTCCAGTTCTGAGATGCACAGACTCGACAGGGCACGGGATGTTCTCTGATTGGGGCAACCTTGTGGGACACCCCTCACAAATCCACCAGGGGTGTATTGATCAACCGGTTTCCCACCAGCTGGCTTTGGCCCACTGGACCACTCCGCCGCTTCGTTTTTTCGCGCGTCTGACCACTCACCCCATTTCGGTTAAGGACCTCAGCGCGCCGGACCAGGGTGTGGCGGGGGTCATGGTGGCGGCCGTGGGATCCCTGCAGGAGAGCGGCTTCGCGGCCCGCCGCAGCCCCGGGGAGAAGCGGAGTAGCACTGGGCTTGCAGTTTGTGAAAAACGAACAGTTGGTGTATTTTAAGATGCCCCTTTTTTCGAGCGACCTTGCTTGACCGGTCGCTTTCCGTCGTTTCCTCTCCTGGACCAGAGAAATTGAAAGATCCGAGACTGGACACGATGGAGCACCTTTCCGGGGTTTTCAAATTCGGATAAACCCGTGGATGGCTTCCTTGGTTCCTAAAGCAACCCCAACACAGCGTTCTGTCAAGCAAAAGACACACTTTTCTGCCTTCACTGCATTGCCCCGAGTCTGTCCGCAGATGCAGCCAGCACTTCCTTTCTGCAATCCTTTCCACTCCAACACGAGGACTCTTGAGATGCATGCGGTTTCTTGCAGTCCATGTGTATCTTCCCCAGCCGCTTGAAGTCAAGTCACAGTTGCAAGAGGGATGGCATGCGTGCGAAACACAAGCAGGTCAGAATGCCACCAAGGCAAGCCAGAGCCACAGCACTCCCTTTGCCCCATTTGCCCCATGCGAGTGTGACTGCAAATGTTGAGCCCTCTTTTGTTGACACCTATCCTTCTCGGCCTGGTCTTTGGCCTGAGGCCGGGCAGCCAGTCGTCTCAAAGAGATGCAGACGACACCTTACCTGCAGGCAGCGCAGAGGACTCCAGTTGGAAGCGATTGGACCACAGAGAGTCTTGGAATTGGATGATTGGAACCTGGCTGGATACTTCGACATGTTCCTGACTAGAATCATATCAGCTCACAAGGCAATGAAGGCCTGAAATTTGTGTGCCAAGCTCACCCCAAAAAAGTACTTGTTTGTGGCCGAGGGGATGTGAGAACAGTGGACCCTTGTGATGAGCGGCCCGGTTGTGTTGCTATGGCCAATCATGCTTGCCTGGGCAAGATTGTGTGATCATTGCAGAATCCTCCAAGCGATGACCATTTGGATTCCAACACCATGCTGACGGATTGCCATGACCGTTTCCTTGTCCAAGCTTCTATTCACCCAGACGGGACTTTGGCCACCTGCAGGAGGAGAGAGTCCATGAGCGCAGCTTGAGTCGCCAGCAGCACCCCTGGGTGCGACTTGACCAAGTTTCGGATTTTCCGTCTACAAAAGCTATGACCCAATGCACCCGCAACCCT